ACTTTCTTGGGGGCTGGTGGGGTGCAAAAGACTGCATGCAGTGAAGTGAGGTCTTGAAATCACCAGGGGATTTCTTTTTCTTTTCTTTTTTTGGTAGTGGGGAGTGTGGTGGGAAGAAAGAACAGTGAACAAGGGCTCTGGCACCGGCAGCAAGTGGCTTCACCCAGAAGCAAGGCAGCCAGTCACACTTCCTCAAAGTGAAAGTGAAAGAGAAGTAGGTGGAGGGTAGGAGAAGAAGCGACCAGCAAGGAGTGTTTGGAGCCTCTTCTTCTCCAGCCAGGACCTTGCAAACAGGGAGGCTGTGGAGGCAGCCGGTGAGGAGGGCCTGCGAGCAGCCCCCATGGGCACGGAGGGATGGTGCCTGCTGCTCTGCTTGGCTCTTTCGGGAGCGGCAGACACCGGTGAGTGGGGAGCAGGCGGAAGTGAAGGGTTGGGCTAAGGAAGCACCAGGTAGCCACCCTCCCCTAGATTCCAGAAGGGAAAAGGGGGCAGGGTGGCTTCCACTCGCCTGCTAAGCCCAACAGGAGTAAGGCTCAGTGGCTGACAATGTAAGGAACCAGTTGTGTTGGGGAGAGAGGCAGAGAACAGTGGGGAAAAGGCCAAATAAAGAAAAGAGGGGCCTCCGCAGTGGGTGTGGTAGGGGCTTCTGTCCTACCGGAGAAGGGACACTTTCAGAAGAGGAAGGGGCTCCCCAGAGAAGAAATCACTAGGGAGGTGACCCTGGAGGTGGGGGAGGGAAGGACACCTGTAATGGCAGAAAGCAGGGCAGACTAGTGGGCGGGCTCCAACGCTGAGATGGCTGCCAACACCCACAGCAGCACAAACATCCAGTCTCCTCTCTCAGTGACAATTCTGCTTATTTATTTGCTTTTGCTGAGAATTCCTTTGACGGATGAGATAGCTTTTCATTCGATGGTTGGAAAAAAAAAATAAAAAAAACACAACATAAACCCCCACAAACAAGGCAAATCCAGGACTTTAAATAATTCATACCAAAAAGTATGTACCTGGAATGGCAGGTGCTTCCCAGAAAGCTGGTTTGGGGGAATGACTGGAGAAGACAGGGACAGAGACAGCTAGGACCCTGGAAGACAATTTTTACCCCTTGATAACTCTACACGTGGGGGCTGGGGGCGGGGCAGTACAGAAATCACTATCTGGACAGGAGGGTATGGCTTCAGCCCAGTCTTTTTCAGCAGTGGAGAGGCAGTGGCGGGCAGTGGATGTGGTCTTGGACTGCTTGTTGGTGGAGGAAGGCCAGCAACGTGGAGGCTTTGTCAGCAAGGAGAACATGGTGAAGGCCTTGCTGGTGCTGAAGCAGGTGCCAGTGCTGGATGATGGCTCCCTGGAAGGCTTCACCAATTTCCAACTGGACACAATGGCCACAGACAACCCACCTGTTACCTTTGAGGCCTCAGGTAAGAGCCTCCACCGTGTTCCAGTCCTTCTGGGCTCCCTCTACTGGGACAGCCCAGTTCCCAGTACCCCCACCCACATCTCCTTCCCATGTTCTCAATCCAACTGAACCTCTGTGTCATCTTTCTCCTCTAGTGAACCTGATACAGATTCCCCATGCTGAGGCCTTGCTTCATGCTGACTGCAGCGGGAAGGAGGTGACCTGTGAGATCTCCCGCTATTTTCTCCAGGCCAGACAAGAGGCCACTGTGGAGAAAGCAGCTTGGTTCATCACCAACGTGCAGGTGTCTGGAGGGGGGCCTAGTATCTCCATGGTGATGAAGACTCTCAGGGATGCTGAGAACGGGGTTATCTTGCACCCTACGCTGAAACTACTCCAGGGCCTCCAGGGGACTGTGCAGACTGCAGGTGAGAAAATGAAAAGGAGCAGAAAGAAAGCTTTGTTTTTTTTTAAGTGATCAGAGATGAAGGGATAGGAGAAGGAAGGGAACAAGTCCACCTCCATCCACATCAGTCATCTCAGGGTGTCCCATAGGCCTTGGTCATTTCTTCCAAAAGACCCAAAATGGGGATAATTTTCTCCTCACTGTGTTGCCTGAGGAGATAAGGCATGTGATGCTCTATTCATGTATGCTGTTCATAGTAGTCTTATTGAGCCAAGCACCAGTTTTCTCCCAGTGAAAAGCCTGCCTGGTCTGGTGTTTCAAGATGATTATTAGCACAAAGGACAGGGATACAGAATTTATTCATTATCTCTTATTAGTAAAACCTGGTCCCTGCCCTTTCCAACCCAGCATAACCCAGAGGGCAAAGGAAATTGAGAACATGATGTGACAATAGATTTCTCCAGAGTTCATCGAATCCAATATTTTGCCTCCAAAAAGAGGCCACCAAGTCCAAAGATGATTAGAGAGCTACCCTCCTATCCTTAGAAAGCCCCAGAACACTTGAGCTTTCTGTGGTCCAACCTAAATCTATCCAGCTACATTAATAAAGAGGCCTCATAGTCCTGGCATAGCTAGATATTCCCTTTCTATTTGGGAATATTTTAAACCTACAAAAGGTTAAGTAATATAATGAACAGCTGCATATCATTCACCTAGGTCCACCAATTGTTCTAACATTTTGCCACACTCTTTCCATAGACGGATAGATCCCTTGAACTAATTGAAAGTTGCAGAAATCCTAATACTTCACCCCAAATGCTGCCATGTATAGCATGTGTAAAGTTTATAACCAAAGACAAGGATAACCCTCCTTCATAATCACAAAACCATCACCTCCACAAACCAAGGTGGGGAGTGGTCTACTGTGGTGCAGACAATAACGGAGGGTGTGCAGTATGTCGATAATTTAAGAATATACCTGTATTTGCCAGGGCAGTTCGTTCCCATCTCCTCCCACCGACTGCTTGCTACACCACTGAGCATCATACTTAAGTATCAACATTTTAAAATTGATACAATAACACTGTCAAGGATAAAGTCCAAATTCAAAATTCTCCACTTGCCCCAATAATGTTTTTTTAAGTCCAGGATTCAAACAAGGACTGTGTGTTACATTTAGTAGTCTTGTGCCTTTAGCCTCCTTGGCTCTAGAACAGTGCTTCATAGCGCTGACACGTTTGAAGGGCTCAGGTCTTGTAGTCTATCCCACCATTTGGATTTGTCTGATTGTTTTCCTCGGTAGATTTAGGTTCAGCATGTCTGGCACAAATACTACCATTGTGTGCTTTTTTTAAACTCTTACTCCTATTTAGTTTTCACAACAGCCTTGCCTTCAGCCGATAAGCCTGGCAACACTAAGTGACTTGTCCAAGGTCGCAGAGCTATTACACCAAAGAACCAGGGTTCCAAAGCTTTCTCTGCTACCCCAGTGGTTCTTACCGGAAAGTCAACAATAACCCCTAATTTTGCATGTGTACTGTCCTGGTGAGAGGTCCATAACTTCCATCCGATTGTCCAGGGGTGACTCCAAAATAGTTAAGATTAACACATGTGCTATGCTGCCTTTCCAGAGCCCCACTTCTTTGTGGTTCCATCTGATGCGAAATGAGCTCAATTGGCTTCACTGACCAGGAGAGGAGGCAGGGGCAAGAATACGCTCACAACATGCCCACAGCTCAGAGATAGGTGAGCTGTGGGCAGGCCACCACCTTCCTTTCAAGAGGAAGCAGTCCATCATTACCCTTCTTTCTCTCAACACAGTGGAGCTCCAGGTCACAACACGGACCCCATCCCTGAGTTTCCTGCTGGGGTCCTCAGCCTCCCTGCACTGCAGCTTTTCCATGGCACCAAGCTTGGACCTCACCAGCGTGGTGTGGCGGCTGCAGCAGAAGGGCAGTGGCCAGCTGGTATACAGCTGGACCATGGGGCAGGGACAGGTCAAGCGGGAGGGCGTTACCCTGGAGCCTGAGCAGCAGCTCATGGCGGGGAATGCCTCCCTCACCCTCCCCGGCCTCACTCTAAAGGATGAAGGGACCTACATTTGCCAGATCACCACCTCTCTGTACCAAGCTCAACAAATCATCCAACTCTACGTCCAAGGTGAGGGCAGAACTTGGTTATCTGGGGGAGAATGGAAGGGATATGCCTACAGGGAATGTTTTCCAGAACGGAATTCAAACACAAGGGCATTTCCTGAGAGGCAGACTGCAGTCCCACAACCTAAATGCCATCTCTATCCTAGAAGCACAGATGGTATCAGATTGTCTCCCGGAAGACTCCATGATATGTCCACAGGGCAGCTTCCCAGCCCAAGATCCTGCTGCCCTGTCCTGGGTGGCTGTCTCCAAGCACCCCCGTCCTTTTGGGACCACATCCTAAAGGAGCAGCAGCAAACCAAAGAGGGACAGTCAGAGTGGTCCTGACCAGGAGGACTGTATCACTGATACCCTTTAAAATCACTGGCTTATTTTGATAAGAAACAAACCAACCTTTAGTTGATTTTACTATGGTTTTTCAATTACCTGTGAAAGATGTACCCCTTTATGGCCTGCAGCCAGAGTGGACCCCTCACCCGCCCCTTGGCACTCCACTGAGGATGAAAATTCGGCCTCCACAACCTATCTCACTCTCAGCAGAAGAGAAGGCTTTAGGCTTCTCTTCCTGTTGATTGTTCTGGAATCTTCTTCTTTCTTCCAGCTTCCCCCAAAGTACAACTGAGCTTGGCAAGTGAAGCTCTGCGACCCACCCTCATCTGCAACATCGCTGGCTATTATCCTCTGGATGTGACTGTGACATGGACCCGAGAGGAGCTGGGTGGAGCCCCGGTTCCAGTCTCTGATGCCTTCTTCTCTAGCCTCCGACAAAGCCCGGCAGGCACCTATAGCATTTCCTCCTCCCTGACAGCAGAACCCGGCTCTGCAGGAGCCACTTACACCTGCCAGGTCACCCACGTTTCCCTGGAAGAGCCCCTTAGGGCCAGCATCTGGGTTTCACCACCAGGTACTGGGGTGCCCTCCTCTCCCCACCGCCACCCTGGGCTTGTAGTTCTCCTACCCTCCTCTCATCTTTGGTCTTGTTCTGCTCCCCACCACACTCTGTTCAGTCCCAGCTTCTTTCCCAAGGTGGCAGCCTCCATCACTGCCACCACACATCCCAAGACTTTGGTGCACCCCAGGTGCTAGGTCACCAGGCGATGTGCTGAGAGGTAGACATCGAGGTTGAATAATTCCTGATGCTGCCCCTGAGGAGCTTAGTTCAGTTGATGGGACCGACTAAGCAGTCAGGGAAGGTGACTGGGGGTGGGGTGGAGGAGACATGGGAACCAAGTTAGCTAGCTCGGAGGGAAGGGAACACCAAGAGAGAAGGAACAGCACGTGTTAGGCCAAATACCAAGCAATCTAAAGAGGATTTGGGGAAGTGCACAGCTAGAGCCAAGGTGTATGGGAAAAGGGGGAAGTGGCCTAAAGCTTGAGAAGTAATTATATTAATTGAGCCTTTACATGAGTCAAGCACTGTACTAAGCCTTTAGATGTATGATCGCATGTATTATCATGACTGTAGTGATGACTGAACTGGCAAATGTTAAGTAATTTGCCCAAGGTCACCTACCTAGTAAATGATCAAAGAGAAAATGTGAAAACCAGGCAGCCTGATTCCCCTACAGCCTTAAACCCTCCACTGCTATTAGTGGGCAGATCCCCAAGGGCCCTTCAAGCTGGATTTTCATCCTGAAGCCACAGAATGTTGTTGAAGGGTTTTAAACAGGAAGGAATCAGCACCCAGAATACAAACATCCAGGAGCACCGGGCATTATCACTAGGCAGTAAGCTTCCCCCAAACTGGGGTTCTATCTCAGCTTACATCACTCCTCAGATATTTACAACATTCCAATTTAACTGTCAACAACTAATCTAACATAAATCTCTCTTGCAAAGCAACACACAAAAAAATGTTGTCCCAGTGCGGGAAGAGGTAGAGAATTCTATGTGAAGTAATACACAACCATCCAACAATCTTGAATGAGTACAAATGCTACTGTGTGCCCAGTTCCTGGGTGAGAGAACACTTGATAGGAGTTCCCCAATCCAGGACACACACAAACTCCTTTGTCCCTCCTATTGGTGCGGGCTCAGAGCGGATTCCTGCCCACTGATTCCTGTCCACACCGCTCTCACCTACAGAGCAGAGAACGATGCCCTTGGGAGTCCTTTTCGCCAGCAGCCTCTTCTTTCTTGTACTGTTGTACCTGGGGCTTCAGAGACGGCAAGGTAAGAGCCCGGTGCCCTCAGCTCTGCCCCTGACCCACCTCACTTGTAGATCAGCCTCTAACTACCTCCCGCCGGGGATGAAGCCCAAGCATCGTGAGTTCCAGCCAGCCCCCAACCCTGGCCCCCAGCTCTTGGGGTTATCCCAGCTGAAACCAACCTTGTTCCTCTAAATTCTCTCCTAGCTACCTCATCCAAACTCTGCCAGGACTCCGAGGCCTTCTGGGCAGCCACTCTCCTGCCTCCGAGCAAAAAGAAAGAGTAGTCCGTTCTCCCAGTAGGGCTCAGCCCATACCCAGAGCTCAAAAAGGCCCCAAGAAAGGCATGAAGACATCACGGATCACAGGCGCGCCGGCTCTGGCTCTGAATATGTGTAGGCCTCTCCCTTCATTGTGTCCCCGGGCTAAACACAAAAAAGTAAAAAGGTGAGAGGGCAGCAGGAAGGCAGAATGTTTGGGTGGAGGTTAACAGATCTGAGGTGCTGTGGTAGGAAAAAAAAAATGGGAAGAAATTAAGAAAGGAGCAAGTGAGGGACAGTTGGGGGTGGGGGGTGGGGGGTGGGCGACCACTCGCACATATTGAACTCTGTCCAAATAAAAGCGCCTTGTGTCCTCAGAGGCAAAGCTTTTCCACTTTTCTGGTTTTTTTCCAACACTGGACCCCACTGAGCTGTGTACCCTAAGCCTAGCTGCGAAGTGTTCAAGGTGTGAAACGAAGGCCCTCAAAGACAGCCCTAGGGTTCCATCTTAGTTGTTCTGTGTAACCTGGAGGTGCCGTTAAGGTTCTGCTCCTTTAGACGGTTGCTGGGTATTTCCGGATACCTACAAACTCATTCCCTCAGCTGCAAAGGAGAAATGTCTCCTTTTATTAATTTCTAAAATCTGCCTAATCGATCCAGTGGAACTCAGCATAAGGGAAGGAGGTAGATAGGAGATGTCTAAGAAAACCTACAGTTGTTTTGTCAGTGAGATGCCCACTCAGCTTCCTGTTGTCACTTCCTCTCACTAGCACCTGGAAGAGTTGGGCTGCCTCAGGTACGAATGCTGAGAATGGAGACCACTTCCTCTGCCAACACACAGATCTTTAATCTCAAGACCATCCAGCACACATAAGCCAGCTCTTTTGGCCTAAAGCAACATCAGAGTACTAAAAAGAAACAACCCTCCCCACCTCCCCCTCTCTCCTCAGATACTCTAACCCAAACAACAACCAAGTCAGTGTAGTGGTAGGAATTTGTATTTTTTGCCTGTGTTCAGAATACAAGAAATTGGTAAATATGTCACATGCCTTTGGTGAAGTACAGCTGTTATTATTCTATACAAGAATGAGATTGGGGTTAGGAAAAAGACAAAGAGGTGATGACAGACACACAGTGGAAACCCCACAGCATCTCATAGCAAACCAAAGGGGATGTGGGAAGCTCGGCTCCATTTGACTGCAAAGTCCCAGGGTTTAGTTGCATATTTGCTCATGCACATGGGTGGTAGGAGGGAATGGGGACAGCAAAGACACAGAAGGGGTATCAGGTGGGGCGAGAACGAAGTAGACGGGCTAACATTCCCAAAAGAACAAAGCCAGCTATATCTGAGGAACCTCAAAGGGACAGAAACCCAGGAAGGAAGTCCTGTGACAGGGCTGGGCGGGCCAAGAGGGCCAATTTGATCCAGGCTTGGGACACATCGAGGACAGTGGTGCTTCTTCTCCAGCGGTGACTCCCTGCATTAGGCAAGGGGCCCAGAGGGCCTGGAGACCTTCGAGAGGGGATCGGTGGGAGGGTACACTGACAGCTTTCTTCCAGCTCTTCCGTCCCACCCTGGGGCAGGACGAAGGGAATGTGGGAAATGGGCAAAGGGAGAGGAAGGATGGTTTTGTGCAATGAAATGCTGCTGCATGGAAAGTGAGCATCCAGACCCAGCCCAGCCTGGTGGCCTCAGTCTCTCCCTGCTTGTGAACCAGAGGACAGAAGGAATAAAGGGTCATGGGCGTTCCCCCTTCTGTTCCCAATCTGCCCGCCTCCCCTCACACCTGGGTCTATCCCACTCAATGTCCTAGCCTGAAGCCTAGCAGTGGCTCCCAAGACAGGCTGAGTAGTTCCCATCCTCAGATTCCACTGTCTGTAGCCACAAACCATGCAAAGCGGAGAAAAGGAAAAGAGGCAAAGTGGAACTCAGAGGGGTACACGTGATTTCGAAGGGGAGTGTACTGCAGGAAGAACAGAGACGTGGCTCAAAATGAGAGGGCCCCATGACAGCATAGCAATACACAAGCACACCTGTCTACAGCCTATCCTGCCTCTCACCCCAAGACTGAGTTGGTGGGTACACTGGACTTGTCTTAATACTCAGAATCGTCCAGGCCTCAGGAAGAACCTCTTGCCTCATCCCTGTCTTTGCAAGCACACAGGGGTGATGTGGAGGAAGCAGTCCCTGAAAGTCCAAGGACCCTCACACCCCTTGATCAACAGGAAGGGAGGAACAAGACCCTCCTTAATGAGAGTGTAAGAGTGGCTTCCTCGGAGCTTGCTCTTTTCAAATTAGGCCTCTGACTCACTGTTTCTCTATAGCTAACAGGCATTCTCCCTTCGTGCCAACACTTAAAACTAACTGACTGAGAGTCCCAAACTTTGACTATATCAAATTACTTGGTGCTCTCATGAACAGTACAGAATGCTGCAGAAAACGTGGACAAGAGAAAGCCCCTTCCAGTTATGAGCTTGTGGGGCTGCTTCTAGGATGGGAATGAGAGTTCTGGTATTTTCACAATTAATATGTGTTCTCCAGGTCTCTGGAGAACAAATTAAAAGGCTGTAAGATCCCTGAAGAAGTAGAAAATCTTAGACTAACAGATTAGAAATAACTGCAAAAAACAGTTTTTACTTTCTAAAAGGGTGTTGCACCAGGACCAAGTTGGACTTTGGGCCACCCAGGATCCTCCTCAGGCCTGGCACAGGAGAAGAGCTCCAAGTGACCAGGGTAGCCCTGAGTGAGCCACCATTTTCCCAGGGGTTCACGGCTTCCTCCTGCCAGTGGCCTGGATTTTCCTGGTGAGACCATGGGCACTGATACCCTTCTCCTCCCCCAAACCTGGCACTTTCTTGGGTGTGTCACCCCGGCTACGTCCCATCCCCTTCCCTTGGCCTCCAACTCTTTTTGGCTTTGGAGGAATTTGAGAGTACATAAGAAGGGGGTAGGGAGGAGGTGCCAGCTGTTGCTCTTCAGGTAGTTACTTCAAGACTGCGGCAGGAGTAGCATTTCTAGTGTTGAGGGGCATAGTGCAAATGAAAACAACAGAAAAAGAGGAATGAGCAATGGAGAAGCCTGGGCTGGGATAGAGGGAGGTAGATGGGGAAGTTTGTTGAGAGAACAGGAGGGAGAGGAACAGGAGTTCGGATGGCAACGGAGAACAGGGAAGGGGTGGCACATTCTCAAGTAAAAAAGTAGACTGGACACAGGAACCAGCAAGTCCCAGAGGGAAAAGAGAGAGAGACAGGAGAAAACAAGAGGACAAATTACATCAAGTTACTAGGCATTCAGGTCTTTCAGTTGTAGGTATCCCATCCCCATGTCTCCCTCTGCCCAAGCCAGTGACAAACAGCAGAGCCCCACTTCCTTAGAACAGGAGGGACAATCTTCCCACAATATCTTACAGAGGGAAGCCTTGCCAATCAAGGGAGTCCCTTGTCTTTGCCCTGTCTCCCTCCTGAACCAGGTGATGATCCCACAACAGCGATCTCCATACCTCAGTCAGAGAAGCCCCACTCCCCAGGCAGGTAGGCAGGCACGCAGGCAGGGCTGGGAGAAGACTCCAGGACCTTCCCACCTCTTCACCCCACCAGTCACCTCAGCGATACTTACTTACAATAACTACCACGATGATGGCACAGATAGCTCCCAGCATGATCATCATCTAAGGAAACATTGACAAAAAAATGGGCCTTTGGACTTGGGGAAGGAGGAAAGGAGTCAGGACTAAAGATGTGGGAAGAGAACTTGCTCTGTCCTTGGGACAGTGCAAGAAACCAAACATCACCCAGTAGACCTGCAGGCCTCTTGGGAAGCGCCCAACCCTCATGCTCTTCAACAGACAATAAACCCCTGGACCACAGCTAAAATGTCTCAGAAACATCAGACCGTCCACAGCTTGCTCCTCTTCCCTTAGTTCCTGTTGCCTGAAGGCTTTGAAAAGAACTCCAAGGGAGGTGCGGACTTTGGATCGTTAATCAACTAGTTCATTTTTCATTGTGAAGTGTTCAGCGCATTCCTAAGAGCTAGCTGCAGGTATTTAAATATATATCTACCCCAGCCACTGTGTCCATGTTGTGTGTGTCTGAGGAAGGGCCAGATGAGAATTTTTCCAGGGGTCCCTTGAGGAAAAGCAGCTTGACTGGCCATTTTCAAAGCCTCAGGATTATCACTGGCTTTCCCGTCAGTGGTTCTGAATATTATAGCCTACCCTGGTGGCCAATTCAAGGTAACGCAGCTCAAAGAGGCTTTCAGGATTTTCCCCCAAGAAAGAGTTCTGCAGGGCAGAGATCCTGCACCACTAAAGCGATGGTGGAAGGAATGAGGGTGTTTTTTTTTTTTTGCCTTCTATGAGTTGTGGCCTAGGAAAAAAAAGGGGGAGAGGATAAGAAAATTCACCTTGCAGTTTTTCCACCAATACTTCCTCTTTAGCTTGGCAGCACTGCTCTCAAATTGTGACGCTCCCATCTGCAAGGCATCAGCTCTGTCATCCAGCTCTGACAGCATCTCATCCCTCTTCAGGACCTTGTCCACATTCACACGCATGATGTCCACCACCTGAGGGGGGTGCAGAAACAAAGCTGCTAAGCTCCCCAGTAGAGACAGGGGGAAAGAACAACGATCAGGGGATCACAGGTCTGCCCTGTGTAACTCTAAGGGGTGCCTTGCCCCCCAGAGCCTTTAACTACACCTCTATAACAAAGAGAAGTTTCTAAACTTCTATGATTTGGAAACTCTCAGAGAAAAATTCTCCACCTACCTCCTCTACTTGTGCCTGGGTTTGCTGTAGTCGTCTGTTACTGCTCATATTAGGAGGAGGGCCAGGGGGACCCGCACCTGGGGCAGTCCCTTCTGCCCCTTCGGCAGGTGGCTGAGCTGGAGCAGACCTGCAGAGAGAAGCGGACGGGGTACACAAAGTACCCAAGACAAGAAAGGAATCAGAGGTATTCTTACCCCACACCATCAAACTCATGGCAATTACGTTACTATATGCAATTAGAAGGGGTTCTAGCTCCTTGGCAGTACCAAGTAGGGAGATGCAGCACAGAAACAAGCAGCAAAAGATGAAAAATCTTGTAACAACATTTAGATGAAGCTCAGGGACATCCAGAGTAGCATCAAGAGATCTTGCTTGGGTCACCCTCTGACCCAAACTCAAACAACCCGTGACACAATGATTATAGAGACACATATGCCAGCTTTAGCCTAAATGGCATTTCCCTGTCCAAAACCTTTCACATGAAGTCAAACTGGGAAACTCCAATCCAAGCTAGAAGAAATTTGTACAAAAGACTAAGCCCTCAGGACAAGACTATGGACCAAACAGCTCTTTTTGAAAAGCCTAAATCAAAACAGAAAGGGCAAACTAACAAACTCGGCTAAGGGGATCCAGTTATTGGTTATGTTTCACACAACGATTAGTCTATCAGGGCTGCTGTAAGGAAAACTTGGAGAAGCACCAAAAGCATAGCCTCTGTAGGTGGAGTGAGTCAGGACTGTTTGCTTGCTTTGTTTTGGCAGAGAAGATGAGGGTTTCACTGAGATAGAACTGGGGCCTAAAGCAACTGTGTTAATTATAAAACTGTTCCAAGAGCGTAGACAGAAGGCCAAACTAAGGGCCTCTGCGTACATGCATCATGAACATTCTGTCCCTTCCTTTTCTAGATTTGGCATCAAGTCTCGGAGGCTATCTTAGTTCCTTACGTCCCAAAGAAAAATCTTAGTTTACACTGCAACATACAGTGATTGTTCTCTTTCCCTTAGCTTTAAAAAGGAAATCTACTGGGGAGTGTTCAAGATAAACTCCTTTCCATGTCCCAGCACACAGAGACTAAATTCACCTCCTACAGAATTCCCAGAGTCTAACCTAAGCATGAGATTTTCTCTCCCAAGGAAGAATAATCAGCAGGAGGGAGATCTCTCAAATTTAACAGAGAATAGAAATTACAATATGAACTCCTAAACAGAAGCAGAACCTCACAAAACATACCACATAGGAGCAGTCCAAGAGTAAACAATCTAGGGATTAAACCATCAAAGTCATCACAAGGGAAATGCCTTGACTACTTATGATAGAACTAATACCCAGAAGTTCCTCCTCCCTGAGTGAATTTCTCTCAGTCTAAAAAGGTAGAGAATAACACCTCAGAGAGGCTATACTAGCAGATTACACCCTACTCATCCCCATTTAAGGAGTCACTTTCTCATTTCCCTCTAAGGCACAAAGGAGGCAAATGAAAGAAAGATACAAAGCCATGGAAGCCACCAGACGCTTGTGCTACTACTGAGCTAAGCAATCTAGCTCTCTGACTGAAAATGGAAAATTCAGTGAGTAGGTAGGAGCCACTATTTGGTCTTGGAAGCAGTCCAGGATGGTGGCAACAACGACAAGATTAAGGTCAGAGACCTTGTGATGCCCTGCTAGTCACTGCATTTTCTCCAGCTCCTTCCCTTCGTCCCACATGGGTGCTACTGGGAACCAGTCAGCTGAAAAGGATCCTCCTTCCCAAGATGAAAACAAATGCAATCCTAGGACTTGGCCAAAATGCATTGAATATCATCACATAGTTAAAACTGCAGAAATCAAATAGAGAAAAAGTAAAACGGTTATAAAGCATTTGAAGGGACCATTCCACATACTATTTGTTGGGAGTTGGGAACACTCAGCAGTAAAATATCTAGGATAGTTGTAACCCTTATGTAATATCAGTAAATCTTTTCCCTTTTTGTCACTGGAGAAGCAACACACGTATATCTAGGACCAGGCCAGGGCTCCAGGCAATAATAAAATAAAAATCTCTGTTAAACATTGTGGTCTGACAGGGAAGTACGTCATTCGTCTAGACATAGTTTTCCCTCAGGATCTTGGTTGGGATGGGGGTGATGTTGAAAATGGTCAGAGACTAAATTGAATGTGTTGGGGGAAGACGGGGATCCTCAGCTCTATTTCTCTTCCAAACACTTGGCTAAGACTCAATGGCAGGAAAACACCCCCTATAAGGGTGGCCTCGAGATGAATGGCTGCTTGGAATCACATGGCACCGCCTCCTGAGTCTTTCTGAGCTGCTCACCTGGCGCCAGAGAACTGGCAGATAAGTTTCTGGAGCTTTGCTCACTGCCAAGGTGGTGGTGGGGTAACATTTCACACACAGCTGGAGTGGGGGACATACACAAATTCAGAGATTGCAGGGCAACCAAAGTTACTGGCAGGTGTACCCATGACTGTCTTTCCAGAAGCCCTAAGTACAGATTCAATCAGACAAGAGACCATGCCCCACCTTCCCCCTCTCCTAGGTTCCACTATAACGAGACCTGAATTAGGCGCCCCGCAGGCGAGAGGAGAAGGTGCAATGAATGTGGGACCACCGAGCCCCAGCCCCGCCCGTGGGGTGCTGGCTGTGGCTGGTGCAGGAGTAGGGTGCTTCCCCCCCTCCCCGGGGTGGCCAGGTCTGGGGGCGGCGCGCAGTAGTGGTTCCCCGCGTCGCCGCAGCTGCTGCAATGCGCCATTTTCCGTCCCGCAGTGTCCAGCGCTGGGGGAGAGAGTTGGCAAGACGTCGAGCCCCCCACACTAGAGTCAACTCACATTTCTCTGACAGAGGGAGGGTCCGTCTTCTCTCCGGAGGCTGCGGGGAGACACCCGCGAGGGAAACGCTGCAGCTGAAGTCGACGGAACTGCCGAGTCCCAACACTAGTTGACCAACCTGAGATAGAGCTGCGGTGGAACTTACTGCAGCTGCCGCACGGGTCCCAGTCTTTATTAGTGCCGGCCACGCCTACCCGATAAGGTTGACAACCCCGCGGCCCAATCCAGGCCCGGAACAGGCGCCAGTCCAGCCCGAAGCCCGAGCAAATTGGCCAATCACAGCTCTCTTCTTATCCCGACTTGGGAAAGATGTGGCTGTGAGGATCATTTACTGACCGATATAACTATAGTTTGCTTACCGGTCTAACTAAGTGACAAGGCAGGGTGGAAATACTCGCTAGCTCTCTGGAGGTGGCCCAGACTCTGAAGTCGTAGGGGAGGCGGTGGTTCGGCAGTCTACGTACAGCCCTGGCGCCCAGACCAGACCTGCTCTCCACCCCACCTCCCCGCCTGTGACAAACAGCTTCCAGACGGCAGAATCCATCAAGGCAGATCCGCAGGCTTTCGGGATCAAGTACTGGGCGCGGGGTTCCATCCCATCAAAGCCGATACGAAGGCTTCGTTCATCCATTTCCTTTAGTATTGCCAACAAGCTCCTCACGCAATGTTATTCTAACTTGAACTTCCCGCCAAATCTGCTCCTCCTATCCCTCCCAGGTAGGTTATTACTACATCGACTCGGTTGCCCAAATCTGAAACCTTGAACCCATCCTAGACTTCCTTCCCGTTCATCTTTACTCCTTCTCTAATAATTCACCGAGTTGAGTCGATTTTTCCTTATTATTTCAAGAATTCTTCCCCCGTCTCACTGTCCTATTTTAGACTAGTATCCCTTGCCTGGACGCCATCCGTTGTAAAACTCACCATTATTTTAGCTCCCGCTAAGAAAAAAGGTAGCAAAATAAAATGACACCGTGCTTTCTTATCACTTAGAATTTTTATATTTATTAAAAGTGTAGATTTATATAGATATAGATTTTTTTATATTTCACTCTTGTGCACACATAAAAAAGGAAAATACAAAAGAATAACATCGTTACTGTATTCCTAAAACTTCACATTCAGAGTTTGACGCTTATGATTCATTTTTTTTTTTACTCGGTTCTTAGATGTTCATGCTTTTCCACACAATGTAGCCCTCTGTGCATGTCATCAAGGGCTTTGGTGATACAGCATTTATTAAGAATGTTCCTGGGCCGGCCGAGTGGCGCGATGGTTAAGAACTGGCTTGGGACGCCAGAGGGCCCCGGTTCGGATCCCACATATGAGGGCCAGTGACACTGCCCTCCACAGCTAAGATGCTGAACAACAGCTCAACCTGGAGCTGGGCTGCCTGTGAGTCGCCAGAGACAGTGTAGGCTGCAGCCCCTGTGGCAGTGGGTTGCCATGGGCTACCGTGTGTAGCCAGCAGCCAGCGTGAGCGGCCAGCAGCCGCAGTGAGCTGCCGTCCAGAAGCCGGCGACTGATGTGCCTCGCCCGTGAAGAGTGTAATGATGGTGCCAACTTGGGCCAGTGAAGCAACGTCCTCCACAACTAGACTGAAGAACAAAAACAACAGCAACTTGTCTGTTCCCCTTCCCCCAATTCCCCAGCACTGTTCCCATCCCCCCAATTCCCCAATAAAAATCTTAAAAAAAAAAAAAAGAATGTTCCTGTCTTTGCAATTTCCTTCCAAGCTTCAGACACCCATTTGGCAAGTTTTGATTTTTATGATCAGGTATGACAAATACAGTATAACTGCTGTCTGATAACAATTATAGTGAAACATCCCTTTTAAATGTTAAAGTGGGAAAAAAACAAAGTATATCTTAGAATCAATGAAATATTTCTTTCTGCTCCTAGCCTTGCCTTCCCTCATATATTCTCTAAGAAACCACTACGGTGATCTATCCAAATGTCACAACCCTGCTTAAAACCATTAAACAATTGCTCTTGGAAACATAATGTGTTGATCATGTGTTTATCCCATCCCCTTCTAAAACCACATCAAAATGACAATTTGTAGAAATTGAAAACAAATGGGAGAGTGGGAGGAATTATTTCTGTCAGTATGAATACCTAAGTATTCCCGCCAACTCTCCAATGAAAAAAAATTTTAATTGTTGAATTTTTTAAAAATTATTTTTAAACTTAAAAAAAATAATTATAGATTCACATAAGGTGGCAAAAAAAAATACAAGGAGGTTCCCCTATAGCCCTTCACCCAGTTTCCCCCAATAGTAACATATATAACTACAGTACAATATTAAAACCACGAAATTGACATTGGTACAATCCAGAGCTTATTCAGATTTTGCCAGTTTTACATGCATTTATGCTATTTATGCCCATACCAACTCCCATCCCTATCCCCTTGACAACCATTAATTTTTTATAACATTGACTAGGACATTTGTCCCTCTCTAATTGCTGATTTTAAAGGGAATACATGTCCATAAATATTTGTTGATCTCTAGTATATAATTAACAAATTAAGGAAATTTCCTTCTGTTCCTAGCTTAAGTTTTTTGTTTTAAATCATAAATAGGAGTTACATTTTTAGTTACCTTTTCTTTTTTAAAAAAACATTTTATTGGAGAATTGGGGGAGGGGAACAGCATTGGGGAATCAGGGAAGGAGAACAGACAAGTTGCTGTCCTTTTGTTCTTCAGTCTAGTTGTGGAGGACTTCGTTTCACTGGCCCATGTTGGTATTATCATTGCACTCTTCCCGGGTGAAGTGGATCAGTCGCTGGCCACTGGACAGTAGCTTAAGGCAGCCCACTGCAGCTCCACTGCAGCCTACGCCATTGCTGGCAACTCATGGCAGCCCAGCTCCAGGTGGAGCTGTTGTTCACCATCTTAGCTGTAGAGGGCGCAGTGTCACTGGCCCTAATGTGGGATCCAAACCTGGGCCCTGCTGCTCAGAGCTGGCGTCCCAAGCTAACTCTTAACCAACGCACCTAAAGATGTCGACTAAAGATAATCATGGAGCGCTAACCCCTCATCTTTCATAATAGGAAGCTAATAGATGTCTAAAGCTGATAAATCATGAAGAGCAGCAGGGCATATTATTTCAAATTATGATGATAAATACCAGAATACAGTTAACCCTTGAACAACATGGATTTGAACTGCACAGGTCCACTTATATGTGGGGGTTTTTTCAATAAATATGTACAGTAGTGTAAATGTATTTTTCTCTTATGATTTCTTTTTTCTAGCTTACTTTATTGTTAAGAATACATATAACTTGCAAAATATGTGTGTGATGTGTGTGTTAACTGTTAATGTTATTGGTAAGGCTTCTGGTCAACAGTAGGCTATTAAGTTTTAGGGAGTCAAAAGTTATACAGTAAAACCTTGTATTGTGAGTAACTTGGTTTGCAAGTGTTCTGCAAGACAAGCAAACATTTCTAATACATTTTAACTTGGTAAATGAGCAATGTCTTGCAATATGAATAGTTTGTTTCCAGAACGAATTATGCTCACAAACTGAGGTATTACTGTACTTGGATTTTCAACTGTATGGGGGTCAGTGCCCCTAACCCCTGTGGTGTTCAAGGGTCAACTGTAGTTTAAAGAAGTGAAAGTTTTTCATTCTGGGACACTAGTTTGGAGGGTAGACTGGGGTGAAGCAGGAGACTGATTTTTTTGTCATAAAACTTTCCCTTCTTTTTGATTAGCTATATGCACATATTACCTTGCTTTAAAAAAAATAAAATGTTTAATTTAGAAATAATCTCCCACCCCATTTTTTAAATTGAGATGTAATTCATAAACCATATACCGTATTTGCCGGCGTATAAGACGATTTTTTGGCCCTGAAAAATATGCCTCCAAGTGGGGGGTCGTCTTATACGCCAGGTACACTTCAGA